AAAGCAGGAGAAAGGGGATGGGTGATGGAAAGCCGGAGAATGGGGCGGGGGTGATGGAAAGTGGGAGAATGGGGCGGGGTGATGGACAGCGGGAGAATGGGGAGGGGTGATGGAAAGCAGGAGAATGGGGCGAGGTGATGGAAAGAGGGAGAATGGGGCGGGGTGATGGAAAGCGGGAGAATGGGGCGTGTGAAACAAGGAAAACAGGAATGAAATGACTAAGGAAAGATTGGGTACAAATAAAACCCTAGAAACCCTGTACCCCATATGTGCTACCCCACTATAGCCTACAGCAACTATGTCAAATAAATCTGACACACCCCCATAGGCAAAGTGGGGGAGAACAAGGGGTCACAAGACCAGTCAAGCAAAGCAAAGCAAGCTCAGGGTGGATCACTAAGTCACCACACAGTCCGAGCACAAGAGTAGGGCCAGAGGCCAGTTCACATGCAGGAGTACAGACATATATATAAAACTAGACAAAGCAAGAGCAGGCATATATATATGTCACAGTACAAGTGAAGTCAAGAGGAGAGCAAGTGAGGCAAGACAGGCACAAGACCCAGCTGGGTGCAAAAGCGCTGATGGTCACAAGGCGCGAGTGCCTTGGTGAACACATCAGCAGTGTTGGCCTCAGAGGCCACGTACGCAAGTCGCAACTGACCACGCTGCTGCAGCTCACGAGCAAGGAAGTAGCGGAGAGCAATGTGCTTCGTTCTGTGCTCCAAGCGCTGCTCTCGACACAAGGCCAGCATAGCCTTGTTGTCTACGTACAGCACTGGAGGAGAACGAGGCGGCTCTCCAAGGTCAGTCAGCAGGTAGGTGAGCCAGCGAAGCTCCTGTGCAGCCATGGCCCCGGCGTAGATCTCAGCCTCACAACTGGAGCCGAGAACCGAAGACGAGCGAGTAGACCGCCACGAGACAGAGCCGGAACCAAGGCTGAAGGTAGTAACCCTGTGACGACCGCTGCGTAGCCTGGTCGTCAGCCCAAGAAGCGTCCGCGTGGCCGGTAAGGACCACTGCACTCCGCCCTCCAAGCACTAGCCCCATGCCCGACGTACTGCACAGGTAGCGCAATACCCTCTTCGCTGCAGCCATGTGCTCCGGTCTGTGTCTCCCAGGAGCAACATAGCGTGCGAGAATGCTCAGAGGGTATGCAAGGTCAGGTCGTGTGCAGGTCATCAGGTACATGAGGCAGCCAACAAGCTCTGCATACGGACCACTCGACTCTACGGACTCATCCGAAGGCAGAGCTGAGAGTGAGTGGCGAGTAGGCAGAGGAGTGGCCTGAGGCGAGGAGTACGTGAAGCCGAAGCGCTGAAGGACCTGCTGCACCATGTGTGACTGAGTCAAGGTAATGGTGCGGCGTGCTCTGTCCCGAGTGATCTGCAAGCCAAGGTAGCTGCGCAGTTCACCCAGGTCTGTGCACGTGTGTCTCTTCAGCAGCTCGGACTTCACGTAGGCGAGTCCAGCAGTGTCCGCTGTGGCAAAGACCAAGTCGTCGACGTACACGAGGATGTAGAACGGCGGCAGGGAAGTGTCGGTGCGAAGAAACAGCGACGGGTCAGCAGTAGAAGGAGCAAACCCAAGAGCCGCAAGCGTAGTCCTCAGTGTGTCGTGCCACTCACGCGGTGCCTGGCGGAGACCGTAGACTGGCCGTCGGAGGCTCCACTGGGTGCCAGGAGGGAAAGTCCCAGTGAAGCCAGGTGGACGGCGAAGCCAGATCTCCTCGTGCAGGCTACCCTGCAAGAACGCAGTGCTGAAGTCGAGAGAGTGAAGCTCGTAGTCGCGCTGAGCGGCTATGTGCAGCAGCACCCGAAGAGTAGTCATCTTCGGGGTGGGAGAGAAGGTCTGAAAGTAGTCAACTCCCTGCCGCTGACTGAAGCCACGAGCAACGTACCGTGCCTTGAAGACAGGTGGAGAGCCCGGCGGCCGCTTCACCCTGAAGATCCACATGCCACTGACGATGTTCGCCCCAGGAGGGGGAACCGCGTCAACGTAGGTGCCTGTGGACTTCCAGGAAGCCATCTCTGCATCCATAGCTGCCTGCCACTGAGAGGAGTAGGGACCCTCTACGGCCTCCGCGTAAGAACGCGGAGTCGGGATGTCTAGTGCATCCGGGTCTCCCTCAGGGGCAAGCAGTACAGACGCGAGATGAGGTGAAGCAGCCGCTAGACACTGTAACTCCTCCTGCCTGTCCTCTAGGACGTCCGTGCCAAGAGCACACTCACCCCCGACGGACGGAGGACAGACAGACGCAGACTCAGCAACAAGACTAGCAGCGTAGTCGAGACGACAGCGAGCAGCAAAGTCGACGAGCTCAGCGACTAGAGCAGACGCAGCAGTGGACTCAAAAGAGGGGTCAGTGACGACAGTAGCAAGCAGACGCGTGACAGTAGGACTCGCAGCGCGAAGAGAGTCCGACTCAGGGTCGGCAAGCGCAGGAAGAGAGGACTCAGGAGGAGAAGGCAAAGGGGCACGCAGAGGAGCAGTGGACGGACGCAGAGACATCCGGTGCGTGCCAGGGACAGGAGGAAGGACGCTGACGCGAACTGCGACCACTAGCGCGAGCAGCACGAACAGGCGACGCGGGACGAGACGCAGGCTCACGACGCTCAGCAAGACCTCCAGTAGGACCAGTGTAAGGAGAGGGAGCAGGCAGTGTAGAGGAAGGCTCCAGTAGGGACTGCGACTGGACAGGCGGTGGACCTTCTACTGGAGGAGAAAGACCAAGAACCTGCTGCAGGAGCGGAACGAAGTACGGCCGAGGCCGCGCGGCAGCTCCAGACTCAGCAGGGACAGCACCAGCACCCTCAGCGACAGCACCAGCGCCACCCACATCTCCAGCGGCAGGACCAACAGCAGCAGGCTCAGCACGAACGCCCTCAGCAGCTCCAGCTCCAGGAGGACCCGCAGGTCCAGCAGCTCCGGGACCGGCAGCACCCGCACCCTCGACGGTCGAAGAAGCTCCAGCTCCAGCTCCAGCAGCACCTCCAGACTCAGCAGCACGCCTCCAGCGGCGAGCGAACCACTCGCGCAGCTCCTGTGGAGAGAGGGGCTCCCGGCGAGACGCAGCAGCAGGAGAAACCCCAGGCTCAGCAGCTCCAGACGCAGCACCCCCAGGCTCAGCAGCTCCCAGCTCAGCACCCCCAGGCTCAGCAGCTCCCGACCCAGCACCCCCAGACCCAGCACCTCCAGGCACAGCACCCCCCGGCTCAGCACCCCCAGGCTCCGCACCCTACCGCAGTAGCACCCTCAGGCCCAGCACCCCCAGCAGTAGTACCCCCAGGCTCAGCACCCCCGCGCACAGTACCCCCAGAGTCAGCACCCCCAGGCTCAGCACCCGCAGCAGCACCAGAGTCACCAGTAACCTCGACCGGGTCAACGGCGTCTACCTGGGACACACCTGAGGGGGCAGGAACCTGAGGGGGGAGGGGGTCTACCGAGGGGGGGAACCGGCACAAGGAAGTCCGGGGGAGGGGGGAGGGAAGGAGTGCGGTAGGGGAAGAGACGGTAGAAGGGGACTGACTCGTCGAACGTGACGTCCTGGGAGGACAGAACACGACGAGAGGAGGGGTGGTAAAACTGCCACCCTGGGGCGTCAGTGGGGAAGCCAAGGAAGACACAGGGAGCAGCACGAGGGGACAGCTTGTCCGCAGACAAGTCGCGGACAAACGCCCGAGATCCCCAGACACGGAACACAGACGCATCGCCAACCTTCCCCGTCCACAGCAAGACTGGGGACATCGCAGGTCCGAGAGACCCGGGGGTGAAGGTTGAGCTGATGCGCCGCGTACCTCACCGCAAACGGCCACAGAAAATGGGGGGCAGCCGCATGCATCATGGACGTACGAGCGACATCCATGACCATGCCAATGCGGCGCTCAGCAATCCCATTTTGCTGTGGTGAGTCCGGAAGCGTGAAGGTCTGGCGGATCCCCCGTGCACGACAGTAGTCTCGCAGAAGGCGAGAAGAGAACTCTCCGCCTCTGTCAGAGTGCAGACGCAGAACAGGAAAGTCCGAGCCGAAGCTCTTCCTGAGCTGGAGACGAGCCTCGCGGATCCAGTCGATCAGCACCTCAGTGACCGCACCCTTGCTGCGCAAGGGGAGGACTGTGGTGTAACGCGAGTAGTCGTCAACCACCAACAGGAAGTAGCGCTCGTAACCCTGCCCACGGACGGGGGCTGGGCCCCACACATCCATGTGAAGCGTCTGCAGGGGAGCCTCTGTCGGGGGGAAGTGGGAGGAGTGAGGAGTAGCCCGGAGGCGACCCTCGACACAGGGGACACAGGAAGGTCCTGGCCCGGAGGGGAGAGGAGGGAGAGACTGGGGAAGACCAGAGACAAGGACACGGGAAGCCATGCTCCGAAGACGGGGCAAGGAGGGGTGGCCAAGACGGTGGTGCCACAGGAGAGTCTCGTGAGACAGGAGGCGACAAGAACAGGGGGCAGACTCAGGACCTGACCGGGACGCAGCAGCAAGTACCTGACCCGACGCAGCCACCTGACCAGACGCAGGGACAGGAGGAGACGCAACGGTCAGGGTGTAGAGACTCGACCCCGGCCGACGCGAGAACGTGGCCAGGTGTCGGCCTGTGCGTGCCTCCGTGCAGTGGGTCACCCGCTGACTCGCAGGAGTGAACTGGTGAACACCCCCATCCTGCAGGTCCGCTCCACTCACCAAGTTCGTAGAGAACGAGGGAAGGTACAGACCCGACAGGGTGCCCGAAGGGGCAGCCGGACACGGGAGGACAGTGGAGAAGTGAGACAGGACAGGACCTCCAGAGGGGTCAGCAAGGGAGACTGCAACCGGCCGGCCGAGCGGCGTAAGGGTAGTGCGGTCTCGAAAGAAGGAGCGAGAAGCTCCGGAGTCAAGTGTGAAAGTGAGGGAGGACGAGGACGACGCAGTACCTGAGAGCGCAGTCTCACCAGTACCTGAGAGCGCAGACGCACTGGCACCTAGAGCAGCAGCCTCACAAGCACCTAGCGCAGCAGTACCAATGCCCGGGTCGGGCTGGAAACAACGGTAACCCTCATTCTCCTCACTATAATCCACAACATACATAGCAGTAAGGATAGCATCAAAATCAAGATCAAAGATCGCTACACCAGCCCTGAGAAGCTCATCCCAGCGAGGGATCTCACTAGCCCCAGGGAACTGCTGACGCCAGGCGTCCGTCAGGCGGCCAAAGCAGCGCTGGGTGGCGTGGGCACCCCCACACTGCTCACCCGCGCGGTCGCCGGAACGAAGAACGTAGGTGCAGGGACCAGTACCCCCACCCCTCTGACGCCCAGCGTACCACTCACGAAGCTGCTGAGGCGAAGGGATGTCCCGCGAGCGCTGCTGCTGCTGCCGGTGCGAGCGCTGGCCACCACCACCGCCGCTACGCTGCTGGGTACCACCCCGACCAGCTCCACCTCCTCCACCACCACTGCCTCCTCCGCTGCCGCCTCCACCGCCTCCACCTCCGCCGCCTCCACCTCCGCCGCTGCCTCCACCACCACCGCTGGCACCACCACCACCGTCTCCGCCGCTGCTGCCACCACCACCACCACCACCCCCGCCACTAGTCCCGCCGCCACCCCCACTCCCTCCGCCGCCACCGCCGCCACCGCCACCGCCCCCTCCAGCTCCACCCGCGCCCTTGCCCCCCTTGCCCTTGCTGGAGCGACGTCTCCCACTAGGGGCAGACGCCGCCCCGACCGACTCAAGACCAAGCAGGTCGGCAGCAGCAGCAGAGGCAACAGAGGGCAGCAAGGGGGAAGGAGAGCACCCCTCAAAGATGGGGGTGCGAGGGTCACCACGAGAAGCACCTACAGCGACTATGCTCTTCTCCGCTGCAAGGAGGGCCTTCTCGAGGAGGTCGACGGTGAGGGTGGTGGGACAGACTGCGAGAAAGTGGTCCCTGACGACGCGAAGGGAGTCAGGGAGGCGCGCGACTACGTAGTAGAGAGCGATGTACATGGGGGGGGGGGATTCTTAGCGCAGAACTCAGCAGGAAGGGCGGCGCGGTAGCGAGTGTCACTAGTGCGGAGGTGCGTAATGAGGTCAGCGACAGTGGGAAAGGCAGAGAGGTCAGGAAAGAGGTAGGGAAGCATGAGACGGCTCAGTGCAGCAGTGGCAGGGGAGGAGTAGCGCGCAACTACAGCGTCGTACAAGGTCTGAGCACTCTTGTACTGACTAAAGTGCGCACGCTCAGAGGTAGGGAGGTGGCGACGCACAGCAAGACGTGCAGCAGCATCGCGGGTGGCCCACTTAGAGCGGACAGCGAGGATCAGCATCAGCAGCAGGAGCAGGAGAGGCGCCAGAGGTGAGGATCAAAGAGAGAAAGGTCGTCAGCCCTGTCGCACTGTAAGAACAGCTGCAGGTCGTCTAACCAGACCTCAAAATCAATGGCGCGACCCTCGGCGTCAAAAGCTAGGACACTAGGGGTAGCCATGGCGACGACAGCGACGCAGTGCAAGCAGCAGGGAAAGAGCTCGCAGTGTCAGTGGGACTGTGCTCACCAGGCAGGGCAGGTCGAGTAGGTATGCAGAAAGGCGGCTCAGCGACTTGGCGGCTCGGGTGCAGGGCGGCTCGGCTGCTGGGCGGCTCGGGCGCAGGGCGGCTCGGCTCCCGGGCGGCTCGGCTCCCGGACGGCTCGGCGGCTGGGCGGCTCGGGTGCAGGGCGGCTCGGCTCCCGGGCGGCTCGGCGGCAGGGCGGCTCGGGGTCGGGCGGCTCGGCTCACGGGCGGTTCGGCAGGTGCAGGCGGCGGGCCGTAGGGTGCAGTGGCGGGCCGGCAGGTGCAGTGGCGAGGCCGTCAGAGGCGGCGGGCCGGCAGGTGCAGCGGCGAGGCCGTCAGAGGCGGCGGGCCGCTGGGTGCAGCGGCGGGCCGGCAGGTGCAGCGGCGGGCCGGCAGGGGAGGCGGCGGAGCCGAGTCAGGGGAGGCGGCAGGGCCGCGTCAGGGGAGGCGGCGGAGCCGCGTCAGGGGAGGCGGCGGAGCCGCGTCAGGGGAGGCGGCGGGGCCGCGTCAGGGAAGGCGGCGGGGCCGCGTCAAACAGGCGGCGGGGCCGCGTCAGGGGAGGCGGCGGAGCCGCGTCAGGGGAGGCGGCGGGGCCGCGTCAGGGGAGGCGGCGGGGCCGCGTCAAACAGGCGGCGGGGCCGCGATCAGGAGAGGTGGCGGGGCCGCGTCTGAGGGACAGCGGGGCCGCGAGGGAAAAGGCGACCCGAGGGGTCGCTAAAAAGGGCGCGCCTCGGGGCGCGCTTCGGTGGGCCCTAAAAAAAAACGGTCCTAAGGTAGGACCCGCTCTATACCATGTGAAACAAGGAAAACAGGAATGAAATGACTAAGGAAAGATTGGGTACAAATACAACCCTAGAAACCCTGTACCCCATATGTGCTACCCCACTATAGCCTACAGCAACTATGTCAAATAAATCTGACAGGGCGGGGTGATGGAAAGCGGGAGAATGGCGCGGGGTGATGGAAAGCGGGAGAATGGGGCGGGGTGATGGAAAGAGGGAGAGTGGGGAGGGGTGATGGAAAGAGGGAGAATTGGGCGGGTTGATGGAAAGCGGGAGAATGGGGCGGGGTGATGGAAAGCGGGAGAATGGGGCGGGGTGATGGAAAGCGGGAGAATGTGGCGAAGTGATGGAATGAGAGAAAATAGGGCGAGGTGATGGAAAGCGGGAGAATGGGGCGGGGTGATGGAAAGAGGGAGAATGAGGCGGGGTGATGGAAGGCGGGAGAATGGGGCGGGGTGATGCAAATCGGGAGAATGGGGTGGGGTGATGGAAAGCGGGAGAATGGGGCGGGGTGATGGAAAGCGGGAGAATGGGGCGGGGTGATGGATGGCGGGAGAATGAGGCGGGGTGATGGAAAGAGGGAGAATGGGGCGGGGTGATGGAAAGAAGGAGAATGGGGCGGGGTGATGGAAAGCGGGAGAATGGGGCGGGGTGATGGAAAGCGGGAGAATGGACCGAGGTGATGGAAAGCGGAAGAATGGGGCGGGGTGATGGAAAGCGGGAGAATGGAGTGGGGTGACGGAAAGAGGGAGAATGGGGCGGGGTGATGGAAGGCGGGAGAATGGGGCGGGGTGATGGAAAGAGGGAGAATGGGGCGGGGTGATGGAAAGAGGGAGAATGGGGCGGGGTGATGGAAAGCGGGAGAATGGGGCGGGGTGATGGAAAGAGGGAGAATGGGGCGGGGTGATGGAAAGCGGGAGAATGGGGCGGGGTGATGGAAAGAGGGAGAATGGGGAGGGGTAATGGGAAGAGGGAGAATTGGGCGGGATGATGGAAAGCGGGAGAATGGAGCGGGGGTGATGGAAAGCGGGAGAATGGGGCGGGGTGATGGAAAGCGGGAGAATGGGGCGGGGTGATGGAAAGCGGGAGAATGGGGCGGGGTGATGGAAAGAGGGAGAATGGGGCGGGCTGATGCAAAGAGGGAGAATGGGGCGGGGTGATGGAAAGTGGGACAATGGGGAGGGGTGATGGAAATCGGGAGAATGGGGCAGGGTGATGGAAAGTGGGCGAATGGGGAGGGTGATGGAAAGGGGGAGAATGGGGCAGGGTGATGGAAAGCGGGAGAATGGGGCGGGGTGATTGAAAGTGGGAGACTGGGGCGGGGTGATGGAAAGACGGAGAATAGGGCGGGGTGATGGAAAGCGGGAGAACGGGGAGGGGTGATGGAAAGAGGGAGAATGGGGCGGGGTGATGGAAAGAGGGTGAATGGGGCGGGGTGATGGAAAGAGGGAGAATGGGGCGGGGTGATGGAAAGCGGGAGAATGGGGCGGGGTGATGGAAAGAGGGAGAATGGGGCGGGGTGATGGAAAGCGGGAGAATGGGGCGGGGTGATGGAAAGAGGGAGAATGGGGAGGGGTAATGGGAAGAGGAGAATTGGGCGGGGTGATGGAAAGCGGGAGAATGGAGCGGGGTGATGAAAGCGGGAGAATGGGGCGGGTGATGGAAAGCGGGAGAATGGGGCGGGGTGATGGAAAGCGGAGGAATGGGGCGGGCTGATGCAAAGAGGGAGAATGGGGCGGGGTGATGGAAGTGGGACAATGGGGCGGGGTGATGGAAATCGGGAGAATGGGGCGGGGTGATGGAAAGTGGGAGAATGGGGCGGGGTGATGGAAAGGGGGAGAATGGGGCGGGGTGATGGAAAGCGGGAGAATGGGGCGGGGTGATGAAAGTGGGAGAATGGGGCGGGGTGATGGAAAGACGGAGAATAGGGCGGGGTGATGGAAAGCGGGAGAATGGGGCGGGGTTATGGAAAGCGGAGAATGGGGCGGGGTGGGGTGATGGAAAGCGGGAGAATGGGGCGGGGTGATGGAAAGCGGGAGAATGGGGCAGGGTGATGGAAAGCGGGAGAATGGGGCGGGGTGATGGAAAGCGGGAGAATGGGGCGGGGTGATGGAAAGCGGGAGAATGGGGCGGGGTGATGGAAAGCGGGAGAATGGGGCGGGTGATGGAAAGGGGAGAATGGGGCGGGTGATGAAGAGGGAGGAGAATGGGGAGGGGTGATGGAAAGCGGGGGAATGGGGCGGGATGATGGAAGCGGAAGAATGGGGCGGGGTGGTGGAAAGCGGGAGAATGGGGCGGGGTGATGGAAAGCGGGAGAATGGGGCGGGAAGATGGAAAGGGAGAAAGGGGCGGGGTGATGGAAAGCGGGAGAATGGGGCGGGCTGATGGAAAGCGGGAGAATGGGGCGGGGTGATGGAAGGAGGGAGAATGGGGTGGGTGATGGAAGGAGAGAGAATGGGGCGGGGTGATGGAAAGTGGGAGAATGGGCGGGGTGATGGAAAGCGGGAGAATGGGGTGGGGTTATGGAAGCGGGAGAATGGGGCGTGGTGATGGAAAGCGGGAGAATGGGGCGGGTGATTGGAA